GAATTCCTGAGTAGGAATTACAAGGCTGCTGTGAGGACCAATGCCGGAGACTCGCCACCATTTTTCAAGTAATCATCCCACACCAGGCGCTTCATGGACCGTCTCTCTGAGTCGTCCAGGCAACGAGAGGGAGAAAAAAGGCGAGTGGCAACTCTGCCCATTTTACAGACGAGAAAATGGGGCCGCAGAAAGGTGCAGGCTCGCGCAGTTGGCGGCAGGTCCCGGTCCCCCAACCACGCTCTGAGTGAGCAGGGTTTCGGGCGGGGGGTCAGTAAACATTTTTCGTTTTCTGTAAGGAGTCGGATCGTAAATATTTCTGACTCTGCAGAATGTACAGTCTTTGTCACAGCTACTCAAATCTGTCGTCAAACACGAAAGCGGGCTGAGAGAAGACGTAAGCAGGTGGCCGTCGCTGCGTTAGTCAAACCGTATTAACCAAAATAGGCGACTGGATGTGGTGCGCGGGCCACAGTTTGCCGCCCCGCGATCTAGTCCCTCGACCACAGGCAAACAGTCGCCACGTCACGAGGACGTCGGGAGCCCGGAACCAGTCAGGCTGGTGGCACGTCGGGACCGGTGTTGCCGTGGTCGCTGACCCCACGTCCGTCCTCCCTCACCTCCTACCAGAACCGGCCAGAAATCCTCACCGGTTGGCCTCTGGGGCAGCTAAGCGTGCCTCTGTGACCCCGTGCTGGCTGATGAGATGCCCGGAGCTGGGCAACCCATGCAACCATGAGGCCGTAGGCCATGGGCTGAGGGCAGCAGCGTGGGGTGACCAGGGGGGAGGACGTCCTCCCCATACGCTTCCCGTGGGCGGAACGCACACCTCCTCTCACGATTCTGACGCACACAGCCAGATGCGATCCTACGGGTTCAAATACCGGGTCCAGCGCTGGGCGCAAAGTGAATTCTTACGAAGCAAAGTAGAGTCACTTCTTGGTAAAGTCAGAAGGGAGGTCTCTGACCCTCTGGGGCATCCTGAGTGATGGGTAAGGTAGGAGGTGATACGTTCTGGCCTGAAGGCAACGTCAGTGCCTCTTTTTCCCCCTCAGTTCCGGGAACAGTTGGGAAGCTGTCGGGGAGTAGGAGGAGAGAGCCTACGTGCGCTCCTGCCACGGCCGCGTTCACAAGGTCATGACTGTGGCTCTCCGTCTCCCGAAGACAGAGATGACCTCTGAATCATCTTCACGGCCCTGGGTGGTGGTACTGAAACTCACCCACCATGTGCCTGTAGACGGTTGGGGTGGAGCCTTCTTACCCACCTCCACCCCCCTCAGGGATGGTTAATTTTAGGTATCACCTTGACTGGGCTAAGGGAGGCCCAGATGGCTGGTAGACCATCATTTCTGGGTGTGTCTGTAAGAGTGTGTCTGGAAGAGGTTAGCCTTCGAATTGGTACGAGAAGACGGCCCTCATCGATGTGGGTGGGCATCCGATCCACGGAGGGTCTGAGTACTGCGACAATGTGGACGGAGGGCCAACTGGCCGTCTCTGCCTGAGCTGGGACATCGGTCTTCTCCCACCCTTCGGTGTCTATGCCGCTGGCTCTCCGGTTTTTCCTACTTGGACCAGAACTTACACCATTGCCTCCCCTGATGCTCAGCCCTAGACTGGATTATACACCAGCGTCCCGGTTGTGCCCCAGGGCATAGGTCTCTTGTTGGGTTGAACCAGTTCCCGACTCGGGGGTGGGCAGGTGACCCAGGCCAGGAAACTCAGGTGCTCCGTTCCTTGGCCCAAGACCCGGATGTCCTTTTTTTTTTTTTGGAAGCAAGAATCTCTCTGTCTCCACCATGGTCACCAGCTAGCACTGTCCATCTAGAGCAATCGGTGGCTGAATCCCCTCCCGCCCCCCTCCCCATGCAGAGGATGCCAGTCTGTGGTAGGAAACAAGGAAGCCAACACGAAGACAGATGCCAAGTCAAAAGACGGAGCTGGAGGGCTGGAGAGAACAGAGCTGCAAAGAAGAGGTTGCCCCGTGCGCCCCGGGAGCCGGCGCTGCCTGGACAGTGCTGAGCGGCACCCCTCTGATTTGGGCGCGTGTCATCGGCACTCAATGCCCTCCTGACTTAATATAACAGCTCAGGGAAACGCTGTACTTTAATTAAAGGCCGAGAAGCTCTGAAATGAAGAAACCTGTTTGTCTTTCTCCGTCTCGTCGTTTCTTGAGCTGACCTGACCGGGAAGTGCCTTTTCCATGTACCACGTTGCGTACGTTTGATGAGCGGAGAGAAAAGGGAGGGTGTTCCAGGCAGTGGGGCAGCAGAGGCGGGGAGGTGACACTCGCGACATCAAACTCATCTGGGAAACGGAGCTGCGAGGTGGCTGCTCGGTGGCCAGGTGTAGAGAATGACCCCACTCCCCACCTCCCAGCTTCCTGTATGTTTTAGGGTTCTGCTCCTGAGTGAGGAGATCTGTCTCCACGTGGGGCCATTTTCACAAGATGACCTCTGTGAGTCACGTTCCATTGTTTTATCTTTAAAAATTCTGCCTCAGAGACAGACCCCCCCCCCCCCTTTTTAAACACAGGATGGCTTTATCTTCTCAGTCTGTTTATCGCCGAATGCCAACAAGGATTTCGGAAGTCACAGATGCCTCGAACTAACCTCTAAGAGGGACTCAGTGTGGCCAACCTCAATTGATTTTTTTTTTCCCCCTTCAAAAATGGAAACGAAACCACCCAATGTCTGCAATTAAATGTTCTGGTTATAACGAAGCTTTTGAACCCCTGTAAATCATCCTTTTATTTCTCTGGCTCCCACCCCCAACCTCCAGCAAGTTCCCACAAGGCATTTGGGAATCAAAGAATATTACCCCATAAAAACAAAATCAGGGCCATGGTGCCAGAGACATGGGAGGACATGGGACACATTACAGCCGGGAGGTGGGGGTGGGGGCGGTGGCTCCAAGTGCTGACCCTGTCTACCATTCATGGGAGCCCCGAAGAAAAATCCTCCTCGGACTGGGCATCCCAACAGCAGCTGCAGGAGGAGAGCTGGGTCTGAGGTGACTGCAATCTTTGCAACCTCTTTGATGTCTGGGAACGTCGTGCTTCCTGGTTATGCAACCGCAGATAGCTTCCTGGGAGCACACTCTTCAAAGGCGGCCGGGGATGGGGCTGGCTAAAGACGATCCTGGGCTTCCGACCAGAAGCGGACGCACAAATGGCGGTACCCGTGTCTGGACTCTGCTCCGGGACAGGGGCCCGGGCTGGGGGCATGGGCTGACTTCTTCTGCCTGTCAGGATGAAGCACCCACTCAGGCCAGCCCAAGAGGGTGATGGGGTCATACAGACGCCGGGGTCCGGGGGTCTGGGCACAGGGATCCATCGGGCCCCAGGAAAAGCTGGGGTTAGAAGGAGTTTCTGGGGTCAAGTGGTCCAGGGGCTCTTGGGATTCACCCCTGGGTCTTTGTACGTGGCGTCGCCTCCTTCGGGGACACCCTTTCCCTGTTTGTCACATGCCTGGCTTCTCAGACGTCACCTTGGCAGAGAGCCTCTCCCTTGTCACCTGAACACCCGAACTGATGGTTGTTCCGTAGTCTATCCCCAACTGTCAAGGCCATTGTGCCACCCCATCCCCCCTAGGAACACTGGGTGCTACGGTGAGCCTCTCAGGAGCACCTAGCAGGGACAATGCTAGCTAGTGACAGCTGGCAGGAACAATCCCGGCTCCTGATTCGGAGACAGGTGGCGTTCCGGACAGAAACCGAGGTGTCAGGGAGTTCGTTCATTCTCTCAGCGGGCATTTGTCGGTCACGCACTACAGGCAGGACGCTTTCTGGGCTCGATTTACGGTGGTGCACAAGTCAGACCAAAGCCCATGCCTTCGTCCCCGTGGGGGACGGACAAGAAAGCAATAAACATGTAACTCTATGATATTTCAGGTGGCAGTATGTATAAGCGTGTCCCACACACTTTGGGACATACTTATTTAAAAATTAGTCATCATCGTTGATCGGAAATTTAAACGTACCTGGGTGTCCTGCGTTTTTATGTGCTAAATCTGGCACCCTTACTCAGTGGTCAGTCATTGTGTGAGCCACGGAAATAAAAGTTGCGGCTGGCTTTATGGAGAGGTGTGGGTGGAAGACAGAAGGCAGTCAGAAGCAGTTGGCCCAGGTTTTAAATGCCGGCACTGCCCTTTGTCCTGGCCAAGCTCTTTGACTTCTGGGCCTTTGATATCTTCATCTGCGAAACGGGAGACAGAACATCTAATTTCGGGCTGTTGGAAGATTCAAGATAATCCGCGATGCGCCCGGCACCACATAGTTTGTGTCGTCAGTACTGACCCTCATTATTCTTTGCATCATAGGTAACCTGAGCTCGTATCTGTTCATCTTCCCAAACTATGTTTTCACATGAGTCAGGACTAACCTATTTAGAGTGAGGGTTGATTAAGAGGGAGGCAATAAAGATAACACTGAAGTAGAAGGAACAGTATTTTTTTTTTATATAAAAAATACTGGGCAGGAACACAGCGAGGGAGGCCAGAGAAGGAGGAAGAAACAGACATGGGGACATGTATAATATGGGACGGTGAAGGGTTCCCAGGACCCTGGGAGCCAGAACCCCAGATTTGAATGCCAGCTCTGTCCTGACTCACTGGGAGACTTTGGGCCCCACACTTTTTCTGTGGGTCTCGATTTCTCTATCTTCAAGATGAAGGACATGATACACGCATTTGCAGGATTTGGGTTGCAACCGCCTGAAACTCACTACACGGTGGCTTAAACGATCAAACGATCTTTTTCAATAAACGACGAAATAAACGTTTAGTCTCAGTACGTCTCAAATAAAGCATGGGACGTACTTAGACTGAAAGTCATTCATTATTGGGGCGCCTGGGTGGCATCCGACTCCGGCTCAGGTCACGATCTCGCGGTTCGTGGGTTCGAGCCCTGCGTCGGGCTCTGTGCCGACAGCTCGGAACCTGGGGCCTGCTTCAGGATTCTGTGTCTCCCTCTCCCTCTGCCCCTCCCCCACTCGCTGGTGCACACTCTTTCTCTCCCCAAAATAAATAAAAAAATTAAAAAAAATCGTTCATTATTTGTCCGAAATTCACATTTAACTGGGCATTCTACATTCTTCTTTGTTAATTGGAGCAATTACAGCCACCCTTCTTTGCTCTGTTTAACTGGAGAAGCTCTGTTTCTGTTTTCTGTGTCGAGCATATGTGAAAAGCGTCCTTGATCAAAAGTTCCAGCTGCTGAAAAAAAGAGGCCTGTAAACTTTAGACTGACATGATTCCCGTGGCCCCTTCCAGCTCCCTGATGCTGTATCCTGCAGGCTTGTAGCTGTAGGCAACAGAAACCATCTGGGGCTGACGGGTACAGGAAAGGAGTTCACCAGAGGATCTTGTGGGGCTCACAGAAGTTCCAAGAAGGCCAGAGAACCAGGTTGGGGGTCTCTGCAATTGGGAACATGACCCCAGATGGTTCTGCAGAATGGCCCAGGCCCAGGCTAGTAGCATCTGACTGGCTGGGACCTGGTCACATGCTCTGGTTGCAAAGCAGGCTGGTCCAGGGCATCTCTCATCTGGGGGTGGGGGGGTGGGGGTGGGGGTGGGTAGGAGGCTGCTTCCCAACATGGGAGATTCCCTGAACACAAGGGAGGACTCAGATGCAGAGGGGAGGAGGGAGACCCTTGGAGGCAATGGCAGTGAAGGCTTAGGGTCCTGGAGAGAGAATTCTGGATTTTGATGTTTGTGGGGGAATTTTCTGAGCTGGCGGGGGGGGGGCGCTGCTTTGAAATGCACAGACCTTGGGGTCCTTTGGTGTGGGGAGTGGGGAGGCTGCATACACCCTCCAAACTCAGCAGAGACCTATACAGGGACAGTGGCAAACTGGAGTCCGGCATCTGGCTGGTAGATGGCTTTTCTTTGGTCTAACAGTTGAAAAACAAATTGAATTAGCTGCCCATACACACTGAGAGCCGTCACATAAAAGCAGGGTTTCCGCTTCTCTTGAAAGTTAGCATTCTGTGGGAACGTCAGAATACAATTCCTGGATGGCACCCCCCCCCCCACGCCCCCACAGGAATGTGGCTTCCAGCTCGCCCTCTCCCCAGCCCTCCCTGTTAGATCTGGGCCCCGGGTCCCTTCCTTCTGTTGTGTTTGTCTCGTGTGTGGTCTCCTTTAGTGGAAGAGGAGGAAAGTTAATTCTAACTTCGGAAATGTAGAGTCCACACACCGGGCGACATCAGCACCCCCTGGGAACCGAGTAAAGGTGCAGAATCACAGGGCCCATGGGGACCAGGGGTGTGGGTATGCGCATTTTGACAGCTGGGGGGGGGGTGGATTTGGGAAATTCGACAGCATGGTCAGGATGGAGGTTTGCTTTCGGATCAAGTGAGGGGGAGAAATGATCTGCTCCCAGGCCACTAAACCACCAGGTGCTTCAAAGCCCGGGCTGTGCAGACAGATGTGGCTTTGGATGATGGTCTCCTCCCGAATGAGTAGCGTGACACTCTCAGAATCCCGGTCTGCTTCTCTGTGGTCTGAGAAGAACACACCCGCACCTGGGGGAGGGTGACGTGGGCTTAGGCAGCGAACGGTGTAGCAGGTGCCCCACTTCGAGCTTGCCAGCCGCTCACGTCTGGGAAGGAGGAAAGGAATAGCAAATGCTCAAAACCGGTTCCTTTAACTGAGGAAGAAACAACAGTCGTGCCAGTAAGAAACAAAACCGAAGCTTTCTCCTGGCTCTTTGGGAGACCCTGATAAATAAATCTATCTGGGAGCATCAGCTTTCCCTGGAGCGAGTGTGTGTGTGTGTGTGTGTGTGTGTGTGTGTGTGTGTGTGTGTTTTCCATCTGCAACTGTGGCTACTGCCACATGCACTGAAGACCGATAGGAGCTGTTTCGTGTCTTACTCCTCTGTTGAAAAATTTGTGCAAAGCCCCAGGGAAAGCGAGCTTGAGTCTGTATCTCCAGCGCAATGAAAGGTCTGCATGGAAAGCCACATTTCATTACAGGAGTGCTAAAATAATTTCCTCTCTGGGGCAAGTGGACACACACACACACACACACACGCACACGCACACGCACACGCACACAAGGATCTGCACACAAGGATGTGAAAACCTGTGCACGAGGAGGCTCTCGGCCCCTTATTCCCGGTGGGCGTCTGACGTCCGTCCAGGTCATCAGGCCATGGCCAGGTGGGGAGACAGAGGGAGCAGCTCGCTAGACTGGCCAGGCTGGGGGGAGGGTGCCCCCGGGGAGCCCCCAGGCCTGCTGAACTTCTGCCGGGACAGGTGGTACAAGGGTTCTGCTGGGGAAGACGAGGTCCCTACCTCCCGCTGAATCTGAGCGTCAGCAGGATCACCTTTTTTTATTGCCTTCGAGACACATTGCTGACTTGGTCAAAATCGCTCCGGCAAGATGTGAGCGATGATGTATGAAATGAAAACTTGCCCCGGTGCTGAGAGCCGGGTGTGGACTCTCGGCTGGGCCCGGCCAGACACAGTGATACCCCTCACGTTTCCAGGCTGTCTTTCAGCCAGGCGAAGCAGGCCCCAGGTGTGGAGCAGAGAGGGCGGATCCGGTTACGGCCGGCCGGGGAGTCCTGCGCTGGGCGCCCAGCTCAGGGAACCACAACCGGGGTGGGGGCTGGGGCACCGGCTGCTGGGAAACCAGATAGGCCCCCGGGAAGTTCCTGGGCCCTGGATGGCACGGGAGGGGCACCGGGGGACAATGAGGGGGTCAGAATGCAAGCCTTGCCCTTTGATCTCTACTACTGTGATCGTGCTCTGCTCTCACCCCTCACCTCGGCTCTCGATCTCTCATAATCGGGAGAAATGGACTTTTCTCTGCTTGGCCAAAACCAGACCCTCACGAAGAACTGTGTTGTTGTTGTTGAATTTTTTTAATGTTTATGTTTGAGAGAGAGAGAGAGAGAGAGAGACAGAGCGTGAGCAGGGGAGGGGCAGAGAGAGAGGGAGACCCAGAATCCAAAGCAGGCTCCAGGCTCTGAGCGTCAGCAGAGTGTGATGCGGGGCTCAAACCCACGAACCACGAGATCATGACCCGAGCCGAAATCGGTCTCTTAACCGACTGAGCCACCCAGGCGCCCCAGGATCGTGCTTTTTAAAAAAAAATTTTAAAATGTTTTTATTTTGTTTTTGAGACAGAGAGAGACAGAGCATGAGCAGGGGAGGGGCAGAGAAAGAGGGAGACACAGAATGGGAAGCAGGCTCCAGGCTCTGAGCCGTCAGCACAGAGCCCCACGCGGGGCTCGAACTCACGGACTGTGAGATTGTGACCCGAGCCGAAGCCGGACGCTTAACCGACTGAGCCACCCAGGCGCCCCTGTTGTTATTTTTAACTTAGAAGGCTTTCCTGTTAACATATTCTCCTTTTCATCCAGATCGTAACAGACACTTATCAAATGCTTTCTCTGTGCCCCAGTCACCTTGCAAAGCACTTTACGTGAATTGCATTAGCTTCCAAATCCTCCTGGGAACCGTAGGAGAAAAGTGACCCTAGGAAATGGGCGCTAATAGCCTCCCATTATACAGACAGGGAAACTGAGGCACAGAGCGCTTAAATCTCTGAGACGCAAGGGCAAGTGGCAGGGCTGCGGTGTGAAACCAGACAGACAGGCTCCCAGGGCCAGGCTGCTAGCTCCCCTCTCCCCGACTTTCTCTAAACAATCTCCAAGATTCTGATGGTGTCCTCAGCTCTCAAACCAGCATCCCATACATTCCCGGCCAGATATTTCTCGCCTGTGTGTTGGCATTCATTCATTCATTCATTCATTCGTCCAGCAAGCATTCACTGAGGGCTGGGGGCAGTGCTGGGGACTCCTGTGGGGGAGGAAGCAGGGAAAATAAAGAACACACCCCCTCCCCCAGCGTGGATGGCAGGAAAGATAAAGCTAAATCAGGTTGTGGGAGTTCCGGAGGGAACCTTATCTTTGCCCAGATCTTGGATATGGAGAGCATGTTTTCTCTTCGCCTTGCATGAGAAAAGACGGAAGGGTCTCAGAAGGGTCTCGGGGTGAGGGGCCTGGGAGACACCTCACCCTGGCGTCTGCATGGTCAGCCCTCAGTGAACTGTGCTTTTCAGGTATTGGCTCTGCTTATTTTGCTATTCGTTCAATGGGCACTTACTGAGCACCTGCTGTGGGCCAGGCTCCACTGGGCTCCCAGTGGGATGTGCCGAGGGGTGAACCATAATCCTGGCTTCAGGGCCTTCCTGGGGTTGAGGGGAGCAGGGCAGATGCTGACCAATCAGTTGTTTTCATATGTAAATCGGTAGCTCCAGCACCTGCTGCCCCTACCCCCTGCCTCCCTCGCTGGTCACAATCCCCCTAAAAAACTTAAGAGTGGATTAAAAAGCAGACAGGGCTGCAGCAGAGGACTCGGGAAGAAAGTAACCTCCTTCATCTCAGCTGGTGACGGAAGTGAGCTCAGGGGCAACAAAGCCCCGCGTCTGTTCCTTGTTCTGCACAGCCCGTGCACCTGCTGGTCGCTCTGCCTAGGATGCCTTTCCCTGGCGAAGCTGGCTCTCCCTCCTCCTTCCAGGACGCAGGTCAATGGCATCTGGTCCAGGAGATCTCCTTCCCACTGCCTCATCCTGTTGACTTAGCCCCGTGGCTTATCACAAGATGATCTAGGGCGCACCCCTCACCCGTGGACACAGGAGGCCCACCAGCACTCCTCTGACTGCCTCCACAGGCCCCTGTGTTTGCTTCCTACCCACCACGATGCCCGTTCGGGTCTCTGCTCCCTGACCCTCCTGTGTTCCCTGTGCTGCCTGGCCCCGGCTGAGTGCACCACATCCTTCTCCAAGAGAATCAAGGGACAGCACTGCCACCCCTCCGGACCTCTAATCCCGTTGAAGGTTCCCGCTTCGTCTCCTCTGGGCTGAAAGCCAGCTTTGCGATGGAGGCCGCCGTGTGGGCTCGCTCTCTGCGGTGCCCTCCAGCCCAGCACTGTGCTTGGCACTGGGACGGGCGCGTAATTTGCAGGGCCCAGTGCAAAATGAAAACAGGGGCCCTTTGTTCATAGATTAGGAAGAATTGCAACACAGAAGCAGCAGAACATTAAGCCAAGCGTGAGGCCCTTTTGAGCTTTGGGGCCTGGGCGTCCCCACGGTTGCCCACCCAGGAAGCCCACCCTGCCTGACACGGAGGAAGTCCTTCACAAACCTTTGTTGAAGGAAGGAGTTAATGGATAAAGGGCAGGTGGAGGGGGCTTTCAAAGGGCCTTGACTGACAGGTGGGCAGAGGGGCCTCAGGACCTGTTCCACCTGGAAGCCAGGGGCCTAAGAAACATGAATGGCTCTGACCTGTAAGCCTTGTAGATCTCTTCTCCTTGCCTGGCCTCCGGCCTCTCTTCTCTGGCTGCCATCTTGTCTAAAAGCCCCCAAAGGACTGCATGGCAGAACCATCTCTGCTCCGGAAAACTCTAGAAGGCCAGGTTTATCTTGACCAACCCCGGAGCTTTCTCCTGTTCCCAGGTGAGGCTTAGCCAGACTGTCCCCCCACCCCCCACCAGCCGGGGCTCTTGTCTCCCAAACTCAATACTTTACCTTCCTCCCAAACTCTCGTGGTGGCCCTCCAGCTAACCCACCATCTGGGAACTCCTAGCTTCTGGATTTGCCTCTTTGGGGCAGTCCCAGGAGGGGAGGGAGGCAAGGTTGAACTTGTACCCACGGCCTCACTCGCACTCCGGGGGAGTATTTTGCTCCCGTTTTTATGGATGAAGAAATCAAGGTTCTGAAGGGCAGTAATTCACTTAAGTTCTCCAAGCATCATCCAAGGCGTCTGTGTCCCTGCCCAATAGCGCTGGGCCCCGAGGAGCTCAGGATGTTTGTGGGGTGAGGGAAGGCCAGGAGGGAAGAAAGGAGGTCTCAGGCACGGAGCCACAGAGGGGAACTGGGTGCAAGGTGGATCCTCAGACAATGCCAAGCCAGGGGCTGATGGGGAAGGGCGGACATGGGGTGGGGTAGGGGCCAGGGTATTCAGTCCCAGGCTCGGGAGTGCTAGGAAGTAAACGGGGGGGGGGGGGGGGGGGGGGGGCGAGGGGGGGGAGGCGGCGGAGAGAAGCAAACAGCCACAAATAAACCCGTTAGGGGAGGGGGGGGCGGGGGG